TGCAGTCTCTTTGAATTGCCAGAAAGTCCTGTTTAGTAATTTGGTCCATTGGTTATATAAGACATTCGCTTTACTATCACTGTGATCAATTTTTAACTCGTGAATTGTGCGCATGCGCAAGAGCGAGTTGTAGATACGATGTGGGGAATGGCATTCGCTCGCTCGCTCGATTGGTCGATTCCTGTAAACTTTTTTTCGATTTTAGGCTTTTGAGTGCATTTGATAGTTGCATTTGATAGTTTGGCGAGCAAAAAACAAACGAAATGGTGATCTTTGTTTCTAAGAATAGTGGTGGGGTGACAAAGAAGCCAATGATAATCTCAAAAGAGTTTTTTTTTTCGTTTTAGTTTCAACAAGAGGCGCCAGCGACTGGCAGGCATGCAAGGATTCATATTGAAATAACAGAACAACCTTCGTTTTTCATAAAATTGTAATTTACAATCCTTGAACTTGAAAACAATCCGAAGATTCATTGAAAATATCCTTTACTGCGAAGCGCTCGGAGTTTACAGATGTTCAAAAGCTTTTTCTGCTACGGCGTGAGATTGAGGACAAAATCGATCATTACGCTTCGTATCGTGTGTTTTTCCTGTGTCAAGCAACAGAAGATGCCGGCGACTAACGAAATTACATGTTAACACGAAAATCAAATAACACCTAAACAAACAATTTTAGCTACCGATTTTCAGTGAATTTTAAAAGAACAATTTTCTTTTAAGTTTCAAGACAATTTGAAGATTTAAAATACATATTACGTACTAAAATGCGAAAGTTATACACCAAAAAATTGATAAATAGGCCTGAAATGAAATTCTATCTTGTTATTGATTCAGTACGTTGCCTAGCACGAGACTAAAATCTACCCGGGCGGAGATCCAAAATGACGGTGGCAGTCTTGGCTTAGTTATATCACTCAGAACTCGTTCCCGTTTGCCTCATTTGATAAAGAGGGAATCGTTAATGTTTTCATTAAGACAGTATTGCCTTGATTTTCCAATATTTACAATGATAGACAGTAAATTTCACTTTTCACCTACATTTACTTCCAACCTCTTCTATTGAACCAGAAACAAAAATGATATATTTTTAAAACACATGACATCATCCAACCTTGTCAAATGCAATAGCATGATCATTTCAATTGTAATGCCTTCTTACCCCAACGTTACTTTGTTTCTTTGCTACATTAGCGAACACTGAACTACTGCTCGTACTCCAGATATGACAATTAACCACAAAATTCCCTAAACCAGATAACATTAAACATAATCCAAGAAAATCATGTGTCAATTCACGAGTTTGCTCACAGAGCACTTTGATTAGAACCATCAGCATACGTATCATGTCCGATTTGGAATGCAGTGAGAGGTACTTGTAGATAGCGCAGGTATTATTATTAATTATAATATGGATATTATTTATGGAGTCAATCACTGTCTAAGCTTGACAACAAACGATTTTCCCCAAAAGGTGGCTCGCTAAAATAACCTACTGACAGATAAGTTAAGGGGTATTCTGACTGAAATCGTTAGCGACTCAAACTATAAATATAGTCAAACAGGTGAATATTTGGTCTTGTGCAGATTTTATGGGACGTGAGGTGTCCCTATCGAGGATGGCAGCTTTCGTCGTGTCGGAAAACGTAGCTCAAAGGCTAATTCCATGCAATACAGTCGAATGTAAAATTTTATAGACGCCAAAATGAGATGCCTTTTAGGACATAATATTTCGTTCGCTAAGTAAACAAAAGAAAACTCATCCGAAACACGGAGGGGGCTAAAGTGTTGAATTTTTCTTACCGGGGCTTCTACAACGTACTTCGTTGAAGTAACTCTGAGATCGATCATCAAAATTGGGATTCTACTGAAAACAGAAATTCTGCAGAAAATGAGGCCCTATCAGGAGTTATCGGGATAACGGATATTTGGGTAAAGAAATATAGGGATACGGGATATTTGGGCGGAAAATTAAAGAGATACAGGATGTTTAAAAAAGATTCTGGGATATCGAAGATCCAAGTTCTCATTTTTTAGAAGAATAAAATAAAGTTATTCTTCAATAGAAGGCACAAATAGTGAAAAAAAAAAAAAAAACTTTCAAATGCGATTTTTTACATTTTGCCATCAAATATTGTCAACATTGACAATAGGTACCAATATTGGCTCTTGTCCGAGAACAACTCTTCCCTTCCCTCACGGCTTTTTCCATTTTGCACCACTTTCCCGGTTGTTTTGAAGTCGTCTCAGTCCTTCAGCAATTCTTTACAGAATGTTACTTAAAAGCATACTGTTGATAAACATGATGTCTTATTTGCACGTAATTTCTGTTTAAAATACGAAACGCCCCCAGAAAAGTTTATTTTCGTTATCAGTTACCTAAACATATCACGCTCAATGACGTCATGACGGTAACTGGCATTATAGGGATACGAACAACAAGAATTAACGGAATACGGGATATTTTGGCCAAAAATTGATGGGATACGGGATACTCAGACCCCTTTAATGGGGCCTCGAAAATGAAGCAAACTGTTGAGGTGAAATGACTTTATTATTTCCGCTGTCTTTCGTGAAGTTTTATCATATAAAAGACGAAGATGTTTAACCATATTGCCTTCTTCCTCCTTTAGCAAAGTCAAACCCGTGATATCAACCTCTCTTTAAAGGGCAAAAAAATAAATCATATCAGTTCAATAGGAGGCAGCTACAACTCACATCATGAGTCACAATTGGAGGTAAACATTTCATTCTTCCCTATACTTTTAGCTTGCTGTACTGCCCAATTAATTCTATAACGAACAGCTGCGGTCACCCAACACGTGCAAACACTCCACGTTATTTGGCATGCACGTTTTACACGTGACAACCTAAAGGAATTCGACGAAAATAGTGAACTGCGTGGTATAATTGAAAGGATGCTGTGATGCAATATGATATGTAATGATTAGGTGATTGAAAAGGTATGTTTGGACGATGATTAGGTAACTAAGAGTGTTGTGGGCGAACAGTGTGTAGGAGAAGTTGCAGCGCTAGCCTTCCTGTTCAACCTGATGTTACTCTGAAAAAAAAACTGAAAAAAGAACAGAAGCATTTACCCAATCAAAGATACCAGTTAAACACGTTCTAGTAAACTTAGGGTAAAACTGAATTCTTTCGAGATTTTATGCGTTCGAAATAGGGATATGATGTAAAGGCGATTCAGCTTACAATAACCCTATGGTACGTATATGATCTCGGAATATAAAGTGGGTGTTAGAAGTGGAAAAAGTAAAGCCTTTCTCTTCAGGCGTAAGACCTAATTCTAAGGAGCTTCAGTTGCTGTTCATATTTCTTTCTCATGGACAATTCAATGCTAAATTTGAGTATGAATCAAGTTGATTCCTCAAATCACAAATAATCCATAAAAAAATTTCGTAGATTTAATTGATCACTAAATGTTTTGTGTGGCCAATGGAATCATGAAATTTTTGTAGAATTTTTAAACGTGCCCCTGATGGGGAATCGAAAACAGTTTTGCTTGATAGCAACAGGATTACACATTTACAGTTTTGGACTGAAGAGTTAAAACTAGTTGTTTTTCTCTATTACTGCAATATTTCTTGTTTTGTTAAAAAAAAAAAAAAAACGTTTCGAAAAGCTGTGAACGTGACTTCCCTTCGCTTTTGTAACGGTCTTAAGCAATTATAGTATAATGAATATTCATTTCAAACCGATCATTCGTGGAATAAAAATATTATGCTTCAATTTAAAGATATTAAAAGGTATTTGGGGCGAAAACTGCATCCGCTCGAAGAATAGAATCTGTCGTCATCAACTTAGAAAAATCTATACCGTCATCTCAATGAGTTTGTTTTAGCCTGTCAATTGATTCAATAGAAGATTTAATGCAAATCTTGATCCTTTAAATTTCGCTTTGTTTTATTAGAACTTGAGCGCGGGTCGTGGCGGCTGCAATATTTTAACTTTGCAAATGAAAGTTATTCAAGAAAAGTGAAAGGACACTTTTCAATTCATCATCCGTCTCAAAGTGCTTCATGTAATTATATGCTCATCATGAATTGGTTTGCCACAGTTAGGGGCCTCATTACGTAACAACGACACATTCAAGACTTTTTTTATTTGTGATTTAACATGCAATTGAAACTTATCTTGTTAGCAGACTTTCATCAAATTCAGATTTTTCTTTGCACACATAATTCATAAAATAATTCCCCATGTGTCTACAAGTCCTGTTTTTTTTTCTTGTTCAGAGTTGGAAAAATGGTTGTGTGTGGTATAACCTCGAGTGAAAATGAAGGGGCCAAAATAACTAATTACGTAATAGCTTTAAGGCCGGCAAAACCTGTCTCGTCGTCTGCTTAAAGATATTAAAATAAAACTCACGATTTTCTTCCCTGAAGCAATTAAAAATAATTTGTAGTTTTACTGCTGGTAAATTTTACTTCGGATCTCCTAATTAACAGAGTAACCTTACAAGTAAAGATGAAGGGAAGAATTTTTAAACTGGTCGAAGCGCTATTCTGTCAACTCTGCAAACTATGTTTAAGTTAAAAATTGCATTGAAATATTGGCGTGATTCATAACGAAAAACACTAGCCATGATGTTTTCGTATAGTCATTGCTCGAAAAGTCAATAAAATATTACTTATTACCGCCCTCAAAGCATCGGAGGGCCGGGATTTGGCGTGGAAGGATACATCGTGTGGGTTCAGTTACATCTTTTCATGCAACCAAGAAATATTTTAATATTTCTCAGTAACCGTGTGGGCGTGGAAGTACTGTGTAAAAACAAAAATTGATGGTATTTGATCAGAGAGAAAACTCCCACAAGAAAAAATAGAAACGATAGGGAAGTTTCACTCAGCTACATAGAACGATCTCATTGGAGAAGGAGTCACAAACGCTCAAAACATTTTTCTCACGTAGTGCAAAGACCAAAATGCTTTTAGAGCGGACAGGAGAAAAAGAAATTCTATGGTAGTTCGTGATCACTACTATTTCTTCGGGCGCCAGACGCGGTATATGGTAGTATTCCTGATTGACGAAACACGAACAAGCAATTGCAACGAACCGGGAGCGAATGGTGAGCATTTGATACATCCAATTTAGGAGTTTTGATTTAAACTTTATTATTCACTGTCTTTCACTGAAAGAGTTCAATTATGAACTCTCTCCCCTTTACCATGAAAATAAATTTGTCTGATTTCAAAAACGTGAAGAAAATTGCCATTGACGGGCCATGACGTGAAAAGGAAATATATAACAAAGCTAGGAAATTCGTCTAATCAAATTCAATCGCGCGAGCGTGTTTCATGTTCCTTTCGTGCACGATTATGCCGGCGCAAAAATATACCTCAAGCAAATACATTTCATCTGTGATGACTGCGAAAGTCCCTTTGGGTTAAGCAGTGATTTTTAAGATTTTCAAGGTGGGTTTTCCTTTCCATTCTGATTGAGGGAAGTATTTTCGTATAATCCCCTACTACTCTAAAACAAAGCCGTAGGCCCAATGTCACCTTTGTTTTCTTTATTCAAGAACTGTGTGCATAATGAGTGTGGGGAAGTGTAGAAATCTTTCAGGATTGAGATAGACCTTTATGAGCTAAAAAATGAAAAGTAAATATGCTAAACGATACTCTATTTAGAAAACAATGGAAATCTAAGCCTTAAACGCGACGAAAGGAATTTTCGATCGATGTATTAAACAACGCGATACGAATGGGGGACTGGGAAATGGAAACTATATTTCCTTACTTTAAGTTGAGCTTCGCCACTTTCGAACTATCTTTAAGCCGGTAAAGATCACCTTAAAGTGTGATATGTCTCAAAAGTATTGTTAATTAAAGAGAAGTTTTTGTATTAAAAATGTTAAATTTCCGAATTTGCAAACAGCCTCACGTTCATTACTAGACGTGAAGTCTAGGAAACAACGCTGCAAGCATGGTAACTCTCTCGCACGTTTTGCTAACAAGCTAGAAATTCTGACCTTTTTCGTTCCTGAATAGCAAATTTAGCATTTCTTAGAATGCAGCACGTGTAACGAAGTACTTCTTTGTCATTTTGCTTCGTTTTAAGATAAGTTTTTGGTAAGCACGCGGTTATTTGGCAAACCTGATGCATGTACATGAAGACTTTGAAATCTCCCTAGGCATGCTCTGTGATTTTTATCTAATATATTGATTTTATAGTAAATTTTAACTAAAACTACATCTCTCTTTTTTCCTCAAAAGTTTTAAATCAATGAGAAACAAAATTTAAAAAACCTGCATTTACAATGTTTAAACAATTGGTTCATTCGTCAGCTGTGCTGTCATTGGGATATGAAACACATGGAAAGTTTGTAAAGCACTTAGGAAACTTGGTTTGCTCTCGGCTGCGCCTCGAGCAACTGTCACGCTGTTATCGTGCTCCCCAAACTTCCAGCGTGCTTCGTATCTCGATGTAACGATGAGTGAGATTTATGGTTTTCAAAACTAAAGAAAGCAATCATACTAAGCAGCAGGAATGTAAATGTCTTATCTCCTGGAGATTTGAAATTTAACTGATTTTATGATTATTATTTGTTAAGATTTTTGTGAAAAAGCAAGCCAGACAGGAGCAAAAAAGAACGACGAATTTCGATCTCTTTAATGAAATGTTTTAGACGGCACTTTGTAAAGGGCATAACTTGCAAACTTTACCTTCAAAATGTAATCGTAACCCAATGATAAATACAATAAGCACCTCCCAACAACGATAAGTCTCGACGGGTATGTGAAGTCTTTGGTAGAAAACTAATTAAATGCCCCGTATAGTTGAAAGAAGTATGCGACTAAAGGAAAGAGGGTTGTTTAATGGAAAAAAAAAATTAACATTTAGTTAATGGTTGGGAAAACCTAGGCGAGACCAGTATTATCTGATGAGACTCGACAGCGGGATTAAAGGTCTGAAATATTCAAGAAAATTGCTCTACAATGATTTTTTCCCAAACAGCAGACATTTGTATGGGAAAATTATTTTTAAGATGGTATGGTTGGAATAGACAGCGGCCTAATTTTGTTCTATTTTGTACTTCCAAAAAAAAAAACAGTGTTTAACAGTTTTTTTTTGAAAATAAAGATTCACTTCAGAATCCATCAGCAAATTAGCTGGTTGTACCCCACATAGATTTATCACCATAGGTGATGTGTTTAACACACTAAATTTGTCGCTTCCGTCTTTAGTTCGTTATAAGCTATTAAACGAGCTCATTGGACAATATTTATCCGGCGCTAGAAAACAACTTCCTCTGGTCTAAGAAACACATTTATTATACAAATCAAAGTTAGTTAAGTAATGGTCTTATCGTGCGGCGTTTTCAAAAACGTTGCGAAACGCAAGCCTCCTTCATATCGTAAAGGAAAGCTATTTTCTCGTGTCACTAGTAAAAAATTCTCAGCAAAAGGAAAGCGTCTTTAAAGATATTTTTTTTGAGCCGCTTATAAAATTCTTTGCTTTTGTTGTAGAAAAAAAGAACCTTCGTCAGAGAAATGGACGCCAATAGCAGTTGGAGCACAGTTTTCGCAGTTATCAAGTTTGTGGTTTGCTTCTTTGGAATTATTTTAAATGGCTTAGTAATTTTGACAATTTGCAAGAACCTCCGTCGTTCATCACCACCAAGCTACCTCATTCTCAGTATTGCGGTGAGTGACCTCGTTTCTTGCTCAGTGGCCATTCCATTTTCGATTGCATTTTACTTCCAGAAGCAATGGCCGTTTGGTATGGCTGGATGTAAAGCTCACGCCTTCATGATTTTCCTTCTGGCACTCGTTTCCATCACCCACTTGGCTGTAATTTCGATGGGGAAGTTCCTTACCATCACTAGATCTCTTTCCAGAGATTCATACTTCAGCAAGAGTACGGTCTTATGGATAGTCTTTGGCTCTTGGATGTATTCTTTAGTCTTCAGCGTGCCACCGTTATTAGGTTGGTCAAGATATGGGTTGGAAGGAACCAATGAATCATGCTCGATCATCTGGGAATCGAAAGTTCCTAGTGACAAGGCGTATTTTGGAATAATATTCTTTGCTTGCTACGTTTTACCTATCACACTTATTGCATTTTGCTATTACAAAATTCATAAAGTTTCTAGTCATGTCGTCGAAACTTCTCTACAAATAAATAGGGTGGCCATGACTATGTCTGAAGCTCTGTTGAAAAAACATCGTAAATCGGCCATGTACTTTTTAATTATCATAGCAGTTTTCCTTTTCTCGTGGTCTCCTTATGCCATCGTATCCTTCATGACAATTTTCGGGGGAAGCGTTGATGCTGTTGCTACCAGTGCATGTAGCGTTTTCGCAAAGACATCATTCCTAGTCAACCCAATGCTATATGCCATTGTGTCGCGGAAGTTTCGACGCCGAATGATTCAGGCGATTCCCATAAACAGACCAAATCGAGTGGTTGTTCCTGCAGATGCTTTTCACCTAACGTCTGTAGCACTAGCTCTCTAAGTGCTATATTCCTTGACCGAAACCCCGATTGACTCCTGATTTGGAAACAAACCGGCTCGATTGGTATCACCAGATGATCACCATTCAATTTACAAGCACTTATTCTCTAAACATTATCTCTTAAGGTACCATAATACATTGGACCAACCAGTGCTGTCGTGACTTCATTTTTTATTGTTGACTAAGCATTCTTATACAAGGAAAGCATAAAACTTGCCTAACATTTCCTATAGTTTTGCGTGCACTCTGCTACTATTACACGGTATTGGGTGTAATAGTTCGATTTTTAAAATTCTCTTTCTGAAATGTTGAAAATTAACACGAGAGAACTAGTTTCTGATAGCATTTCCTATTTCAACGTTAGAAATGTTCCACGATCATTGCTTTGCTTAGGTTAATACAATGAACGTATTCCTTTCTCAAATATCTTATTACCTCCTCAATCCTGAGAATTGTAAGATTAATTTTTGGTGTCCTCAGTATTTTTTTTAAACGTAAGTATTGTAATGGAGGTGTTATTACTAGTGTTTAGTGTTTTATTCAGCAATAATAATTGTCAAACAAAATAGTGCAATGAAGGCCACTATTGAAATGTAGGTGAGAAAGTGTACTGAGAACTGAAAATATTATTCTGTAGAAATTGTTCAAATTGTAATATTGTAATAACAGTTTGACTTGACGCCTGTGGACGTTGAAAGCAGAGCATTTGTAAAACCTTTAATGAGTATCATGGTATATTGTCCTTATTTGTGATGAGAAAATTTGCCATCAGTTTATCGCTTGAAAAATTCGCGTCAAAAGTTGTGAGGTTATCAGATCGAGGTAACATATAGAAATAACTATTGTTGGTATTTGCTTTCGATGGATTTTTATGATAGATAAACCTTTGCTTTGTGGGTATTAAGTCTAGTTTTGAAACCTACCCATCTCGGAGACTGAATGGCTCACATTTTTATACCACTTCATATACTAAGAGTGTTTGGGAACGTTCCAGCGCCCGCCAACCGGGAAGACCAGGAGCTCAATAAGTTAGTAAAGCCTTACAGGATTTCTGATGACGAGTGTGCGAACTATGACCGTTAACCTTTGGGGAAAGTGGAATATAAAGCGTTTTATTGACATCATGTCGTTCTCTTAAAGAGATTATGTCAAACAAGGATATTTATCATTGATGTTAAAAACGTATTTTTAACTTTGATATTAAACAAGGATATTTATTCAAGTTGAATAAACATCCTTGTTACTGTTCCGACGGCTCCCCTTCCTGTTTAGTCTTTAAAAACTCTTCTACCTGTGTGACAAAGTTTTCTCGTAAAATGAACATGACGGATGTCCTTTGAAATATCCGAGAAAAAATGCTGCCGCATCCTTTAGTTGCCGAATATTTAAAACTAAATGGCTTTTAATGGCGTTCAATAATGGTTGCAAAATTTCCCTGAAGGACGAGTATGGAATGTATTATTTGGTTTACCTTTCTGACAAGTTAAGAATTAAATGGGCAGAATTTTCCATGATTGAGTTTAACCGACCCTATGCAATGCTGTAAACTTAGTAAGCAACTGGTTAAAGAAAGATGAGAGGTGTTTGAGTCGAAAAAGAAAAAAAAAAAGCTGGAACACCTGCTGACAGGCAAGGTCATTTTCATGTCATCAAATTCAGAAATCCACAAGCAAGAAGGCATTAAACCTTTCATCTTTTTCGGGTATAAAAGATGCTAAATTTGTCTCCTCGCAGCATAAAAAGAGAGGGTACTGAATTGAGAATAGATTTATGAATCATAACAGAGCAGTGGATGTTTTCAGTTTTAAGATGTGGCCTAAAACGGTTTTGTCATTCATTTCTATAGTTTTGATATTTGTGTTTCCCCGATAATCTATCAAAAAAACTCATAGTTATCAAAAAAAGTTCAGTAATTTTTAAATATGTCTTCATGTTTAAGGATAACACATCAATAACAAAGCCTTTCTGCAAAATCGTCAACCTCAACTTCATGTACTTGTAACCCATAAAAGACTAAGGTGAGCTCTTTTTTTTACTTTGAAATGCAGTTAGCACATTAGGTTTCGAGAGATACTGATCACAAGTTAGAGAAGCATATCGATTTTTTAATATATATTTCAGTGTTGAGTGAAATGTCGTAGATTTTTGAAGAAACATTGATTTTCATTTATTTGGACTGATTGCTTGTTTTCTTTAGAAGGGAATTTGTTTTTTGTACTTTATGACCCTTAAGATATTGCCAGATTTAGTTCATGTTTTCTGACCACAACTTTGATTAATTGTTTCGAATTTTCGAGTCCCTATGTGGACTGAAGTTTTTTAGATACACGAATCATTAACTCTATATTTCCATAACAACATTTTTAGCTTTCTTCCCGTTACTCAAGGCTTCGAGATATACCCGTACCGTGCTCTGTAGCAAAACTAAATACACGATTGGTAGCAAGTGAGTTGGCATATTATCTCGGTGAAAATATCATGCAATTTGTCGGACTGAGAATGCACCCTCCACAAGTAATATGTTATCAGGTTTTTACTTACTCTCTAAAAAGTATTTTTGAAAATACCCATCGCAAATAGTACCTGAGAGGTCAAATGCAATTCGACCCCAAAAGCCCTTTCGTGTCGATGATCGTTCCAGCGTGTAAATGCAGGGGATTTTTTATCCGCTTCGGGCCGCTTTAAAATGCGCGAGGAAGCTGTATAGCTAATTACGGCAATCGAAACACGTTGGTCTACATGAAAATGTGCATCAAAACAGAATCCGTGTTGAAGTTATGCAATATTAAAAAATAAAATGCAAAACATGAAACTTTGGTACTCGGGATGCTCGGCACAAACTTAAATTAATGGATCTTTGACTAAGTATTCACTGAAATTCCCAACAGGGTAACGCTCTTCACTTCAATTTTCGATTTTAAATGGTGCATTATTTTGGTAATTATTCTAAGACAAATAAATCTTTATGCAAAATGAATCAGATCACTGAATACCTTCTATGTAAACTGGAGATTCATAAAAAAATGAAACCGAACAAGGCGAGGGAGTGAAAGGAAACGTATGTATTTATGACATCACCTTATTCTAAATTTACGATTTCGTGCGACTTGTTTTCTTAATCCCTAGCCTAAGCTGAATCACACTGCCTACATCCTGGATGCGTCCCTTTTTTTGGACTTTGTGGCATCGTCCGTTTATAGAGATTAAAATGACCTTGAGACTAAAAATCAAAACAAGAATCGTCCCTTGTACTTATTTCAATGTACACATTCAGAGCCTTTCCTGAGGAAATAAAAAACAAATGAAAAAAGGATAGCGAATTCTCGTTGAAAAGAGAAAAGCACGTTTTTCCTCTATCTTTTCATCATCTATTTATTTTTGTCATAGGAAGACGATGGAGGAAAAGAAATTCGAAACTCAGAGAGTTTTATCTCATAGCATTAGGTGAATGGCTAGACATGGTGTCTAACACGCCATACTGTTCACACTGTCAGAACCTTACCATTTCAGACGTAAATATTGTTGGAATCATGTAAGAATAACGAGATAAGTGTTCTATTAAGTTGGTTGTAGGCTTGTGAGGGATATTCATTTACATTGCAGATTTCCATGATGTTTTGACTAATTGTAGTATATCAGTATTATATTGCTCCATTTTCCCCAGCATCGCAGCTTAGCAGGCAATCAAACTTAATGTCTAAAGTACCTCCTTTAAAAGAACATTAAAGTCGTGAAACTAATGGCCTTTTTCAGCAGGCACTCAAAAATAAGAGCCGGAATTAAGCCTCTGTCACATGGCAGGAGAAATTTTACGTTTTTTACCAAAAAGAAAGCAGGAGCAGTACACATTAAAGCCACCTACGTAAGAAAGCTCAGTAAGATAGAGTGAATTAGGATTTAACATGAACGCGATTGGTAACTGGAGCACAAGCTTCTCTGTGGTCAAGCTGTTCGTATGCCCCCTGAGAATCTTCTTCAACGGGAGTTTGGAAGGATCTACACCGTTTTTCAGCCCTCTTTTTTTCCCCTTTAAAGAGTCGTACTTCAGCAAGACGAAGACTCTGTGGATAATCATAGGATTATGGGCTTATTCGCTGGTGTTTAGCGTTGCACCTCTATTTGGATGGTCTCGATAAGGAAAAGATGGAACCAATGAAACCTGCTCAATCATATGGGACTCAACTTATCCCATTGATATAACGTATTTTACGGCTATATTCATTGCTTGCTAAGGTTTGCCCATTACACTGATAACGTTTCGCTATGATAAGATCCATAAAATTTCCGGACGAATTTTAGTGAAAACATATCAAATGAGTAGGATAGCCTTACTGGAAAAACATCATAAATCTATGAAGTACTTTTTGATCATCATTGAGGCTTTCCTCCTCTCGTGGTCTCCGTATGTCGCGGTATCCTTCCTGAAAATTCTCGGGGAAAACGATTACAACTACTGCGTGCACTGTGTTTGCCAAAATGTCGTTTTTTCTCAACCATTACTCTATGCTATTGTTTCAGGATGGTTTCAACGCCGCATAATTCGCGCAATTAAGGTGACCAGACCAAGTCAAGTGGAAGTAATGAATGTTTATAATTCCAAATAACACTCATTGGTTTTCTAAACCTTGCATACCTTTGATCTGGGATATGTCCACTTTCATTGCTATTAACCACGTGTTCATCAACGTATGATCCGTGCAGAAGTAGTCACTAAACAAGATGGAATTGTACAGGGATGCCATTACTGACAGTAAATAAAGTTCTCCTGCCTCTTCGTTGCCACGAAATGCCATTTAACGTCCTCTTGAGTGGATTATCCTTATAGATACAGTCTCTAGATATGAACATCAATGCACTTCGCCGCTGTGAATGGTACCAGCTGCAGTGTATTATGGTTTTAAGTTTTGCCCTTATTGTTCGCTAAATTCGATGCAAGTAGGATATGTGCATTTGTTTAAAACGTGTTCATCCATCAACGACTTTTCTTTCCTATTCCAAACTGGCATACGATATTTAGAGTTTATAAATGCTGAATTATCCATCAAGACCAGCATACCGGATATATCTCTATCAGCAGTCACTAGATAGAGAGGTCCACTATGCTAATTTATGATAAGGTTCGTATATCATGCGCGCTGTCATTGGTTGAAAGAGCATGCTCTATCATAATACAGAACACGGAGCTGAATGTCACACCTTCTGCCAATTTGTGCTGTGTCCAACCATTTCCCGGACTTATCTCTAGCCTTTTTTTGGTTAACTGGAAGTGAAATTTCGGAACAAGCGAACCGGCAAGTACCAACAGAAGAACCAAACCGCAAAGTTTTGTAAAAATGCCAAGCGTCGTAATTGACGTTATTATAACGTGAGCAGAGACGAAAATCCTCAAGGAGAAAACGAAATGGACGGTCCAAGCCTTGAAGGTCTTCACACTCAGTTAGATTGTTAGCTTACGTACGGTAATAAAGGTCAAGCATAGCTAACACTCGTAAAGTATATATAGTTTCGTGTTCAAAAACAAAAAAAAGGAATGATGAAAACCATTACGAAACTGGCATAACTGTTTAAATTCATAAAAATCATGACGATGTCAGAGCGACTGCGATCATGCTGAGGTCAATCGTGGGCAGCTCATCATGGCGATCTCCGGTCACCACGGTGAAGCAGGCCTTAGAAATAACATCGTCCACCCTTTGAGTGAACAACTGAGAGCTTGCTCTGATATTCTTTCCTATGCGTTGAGTGGAAGGTCACATCAGTCACAGCGGCGGATTGTGAACTTTGATGGTTTGACATTTTTGACAGCTTTAGTCTTGTTCAACCAATCAGATTATTTAACCATTCTAAAATAGATTCTGAGTGACTTATTGTGGCGTGCTTTTTGGCGGAGAGTATACAGCACGCTGACGACACTACTGTGCGCTTTGGTAATCATGAAGTGACTTATTGTGACGTACTTTTTGGCGGAGAGTATAGAGCACGCTGACGACATTGTTGTGCGCTTTGGTAATCATGAAGAATGTTTTGAAAATTAAAAGTAACGCGTGGGGAATTGAACTCAAGAAGTGGGGAGAAACACTCGACCACGTCTTTTGCTCCTCCCTACACTTCTTTCGTGTTCTAGCCGCTTTCTGCGTGCTTTCCAATAGAACAGAGCACAGTCGAGGCTTCTCTAATTGTTGAGCAAAGACTCAGATTAAAACACTAACTGGTGACAAGATCGAAGAAAAATATAATATTTCATACATACTGAGATTTTCACTACGAAATCTGTCGTCTCAAAACCCAGTTCACGGCTGATTACAGCCAATCAGATCAGAGAAATGACAATTTCACGCGTGGAGAAAACGTTTCGTCCAATCACGAAGAACCTGTCAGAAGTACTTCGTTTTCGCGCCTTCTCCTCTTCCTGCCCCGTCAGTTTACTTGAAACTTAGCTTCGTTGTTGGTTTTGTAAACATTTTGAAAGGAGTTTGGAGTTCTGTAGTCAAATTTATTCCCTAAATTTAGCTATTTGAGATGGCCGAAACCTCAAGTTTACGATTTCCTGCGCCAGAAAAGCCCGTAAATGAGCTTATTCAGGAGCAGGAAAACAAGAACACGCTACCAAAACGCAGAGAGACATTTCCATTTTCATGGCGTTTTTGAAAAAAAAGAGTGCGGAGAGAAAAGTGGAAGAGATTATGCCAGAGCAGCTGGGTGATTTCTTGAGTGAATTTATAATAACTGTCAAGAGTAAAGACGGAGGCGAATTCGAGCCTTCAAGCCTGAGAGGATTTCTTTCCAGCTTTAACCGTCACTTAAAAGTTTGTAAATATCCAAAGAGCAAAATGGAGGACCTTGAGTTTGAACAAACTCGAATAGCTTCGGAGTCTCGAAGCAGACAACTGTAATAGGAAGGGAAGGGCAACAAGCCAAACGCAGTAGAGGCTATAACAGACGAGGAGGTGAACATTCTATACATGAAAAACCTGCTTGGAATTACGAGTGCTAAGGCTTTCATTGAACACGTTGTAGTTTATGAACTCCATTTATTTCGGGTTGAGAAGCTGTAACGAGCACCGACAAATGACTTGGGGAGATGTTCAACATATTAGAGATGTGGACGGACCTGAATATTTAGAATACTCTGAATGACAGACCAAATGAGAACAGGAGCGGAAATTCGAAATATCAGATCAGTCAAGCCTAAAGCTTTCGCTACTCAAGAGGGGCCAGATGAAAGAAACTCCGTGTTTGTTTACAAAATTTATAGCGAGAAAAGACCAAACTCAATACTGACCACCGAGGCCCCTTTATATCTTAGTGTCAATTGTTCAAAGGATTCTGGCAGATTTGGCTTTTAAGGCAGGTGCAATGGGGTAAACAAACTGAACTCGTTAATGAAAACTATGGCAAACAAAGCTGGACTCGACGAGAAGCGACGGCTCACGAACCACAGTGCAAGAAAAACGATGATAAAAAAACTTAACGATAGCCGCAATATTCCCCCCGCTCACATCATGCAGCTTTCAGTTTAACGTACTTTGCAAAGTATAAACAACTACAGCTCTGTTTCTAAAGAGCAACAGAAGAATATGTCATTGATACTGAGCTCAAAGCCCTCAACATGCAATGCCGCGAGAGACGCAAACAACAATGCTTCACGCACTGCTGCAACCACCACTTTGACGGCCGAAGCGGAAGCTTCGTTCATAAAAACCTCGATGTTTCCTGTAGCTGGTCCCTTCAGTGGAACCGTATTCTACGATAACTATAATCACTGTGAACAAGTCACCCGGCACTTGTGCAGATGATTTAATTTCTACGTAACGAAGCTACAAACGAATAGAACGAATTCTTGAATCGTCGGATGATGACGACAGCCCAACACTTCAATGAAAAACTTTACCACTAACTGACTTTTTTAAAAATATTATTAAAGTGATGGAATAAAGCTTGTTTGAAATTTTGTAGAGCTACTTGAGCTCATTTTTACGCAATTATAGCTACATTTAGTAGGTGAAAGCAGCGTGTTCACTTTTATTTGAATGACTTATAAGCTCATATGAAAATAAAAATAAAAAAAGGGGAATCTTAAAATGCATGAAATAAACAAATTACATCATTTGGAGGGCACTTGTACGGCATTTTCGCATTTGTTGGTTTGTATCAGAAATGTCACTGATTCGCTGTGCTCATTCGTTCGATTTCTGATACATCACCAACTCGTGCGAAAATGCCGTACGCGTGCCCTCCCCATGAAGTAATCTATATTTAATAGTAATGGCATAATTTTCACCACTTTACACTAATTTATCCAATCAAAATCTGATCGCGAAAGCTTTTTCATGAAGAACATTGAGTTAAACTTCCATTTCAAGCGGGAAAATTTCGTCATTTATATTATATTGAGTCCTACACCATAGATTATTTTGGGTCACCAGCCTGAAAAAAAACTGTAAGCGTTTATGAAGTAATGTATTTTTTTAAGCCACAAATGGGCAGAATCTGCGCAAGCATTTTCCAAATACTTCTCCTTCCGAATTCGCCATCGTCATCCAGCTGATCAAGTTCGCCCCTTTTTTTCACGACTAAAACTTGCACTAAAAGATCGACTCTCCCCCCCCTTTTTTTTCAGGTGGATCGAAACTAGATACAAAGTATACCGCTCAGCCTCGTTTTAAGGCGAGGAGACTGGGGAGGCATTCGAGAAAAATAGAGGATCGTGGGAAAATCTACCTGCATTAAGGCGAAGATGGAACCATGTTTTCAGTTTTTGTTCAAAACACTCGACAATAGCGTGATTTGTCTTTTGAAAACGAGCACCTTCCTCTTTATTCAAGACAAACTCATTTTTCCTTCTTTATGATGCGTTACATTTTATTAGCTGAGAAAATCTGGAAACATATACCTATGTATACAACAAAGTGCAAAGTGTGAAGATGATCTATTAAGTTGTTGTTCATACCTTTTCAAACTGAGACTTTTTAGTTCCTTTATCATATTCACTTGCAAGGGGTACTTGTTAAGTTACCTTTGGAGAGACTATTGAGTATTTGAAATTTCGGAACATCGTGACGGGAATTTTCGAGTCAGTAACAAAGAAATTGTAATCAAAACAGTTTCCCTCCGTATGTTGTTTACGAAAAGTGATTTACGAAAAGTGGGCCAACATCAAGCTAAAAACGTAGAAGCGAAGGCAAGTTACCTAATTTATGCACCTGTAACCGAATAGGATGGAGGCCAGCGGCCATTAGGAATAACGGGGACTATGAGATAAATACAATATCTTCTCGGAAAATCAGAAAAGATTACTATCAGGTATATGCCTTTATGTTAGTTCTTAAGTATTTGATGATAGCTTTGAAGTCAAAGGAATTCTAAAGTCAGTTAAAAATTTTAAATCTCATACGCTCTTCTAATAAACGGAAAGGATTACCTTTCTCTGATCAGAAGAAAGCGAGCGACGTGAAATACCTACTGGCGCCAAGGTTTACAAACATTGAATTTCAAGTCTTAAACAGCTGGTCTTAGTTAATTTTCATATCTTCCAATGTTTTGAACAATATTCATCCGTTTTTCCGAAAGAAAAAGAACTATTGTTACAATTTTACTCAGAATCTTCTAAGATCTGTTTCGAATCAACATTTAAAAAAAAATTATATCAAAAGTGGAACTGACTAAATAACAGTTTCAGGGAAAAGTTTACTCGAACGAAAAACTAACGATGGTGAAAATTCAAGCACATTAGGATTCTTAAAATATCCATCTTCATTATAACTAGTAAACATAGCAGGCTAGTAATTATCATAACTGTTGCTCAGGCATTTTGATTTATCCAAGAGAATCATTTCTGGCAAATCTGTTTTACTTTGTTACAAATATACTTGAAGGTTTGAGCAGGGGTGAAATTTTCATGATTTTACATAAAATAATATCGAATATATTGTTTGCTTATACAAATTGTTTTTAGCACCTTGACTCTGCTGAAAAGAAACTGTGAATTTTAATTTGATTTCGTTTCATTCGGACAATGCAGAGATTTACTTTTAAAAATAGAAAAGAGACAAAGGAGTAAATTCGCGCACCCTTACGGCGGTGACGTCTCGCTTCTTACGTAATTATCATAACTGAGGAGAAGTAATATCAGAAAGTACACGAACGCAAATGATCCTCAGATATTTATCATAGTATTTGGAGGTGAACTACAACACATATATCTTCGTCGAAGATGAACTGCCCCGCGGTTTTTATATTTTCTCCTGAAAGGCCGTGGTTTTGCATAAGGAAAGCTATGGCAATGAATATTGCGATAAAACTCATTAAACTTCGCCAAGTATTTTTTATTTGCTCCGGTTCGCTTAATTTCTTGACATGCGTCACTTATCGATCAATCAATTCTTTTGTTGCATTTCGAATGGCTTTGTTGTGAATTTACAAAAATAATGGATCATGAAAGAAGAAGCGCACGCACTCCGAGCGAGATTTGAAATTGTTGAAGTAAACCAAAGAAGCGTATTGATTTTGTTGGACTATTGTTACGACGTTTACCGCTGTGTGAGACGATAGGAGACAAAGTGAAATTATTCCTGAAGTAAATTAAAGGAGCGAGCTGAAAGAAATGTAGGTGATCATCTTTTCTGAGAGGTGTGAAACAAGGTCTGGTTAGAATACAGCGGTAATTATCCTAACAAGTTCACTATGCAAAGAAAGGAAACTATGGAGAGAAAGGCGCACTGGCCTTCAAGAGTGGATTTAAGAATTGGAGTCTCAATTTTACTTGCCTACGGTAAGTGCGAAAGAATTGATATACAAAAATTTGATAAGGGTAAAATGAAAGAAAAAACGCAGAAAAAAATGACAGATTTGGTTATGCAATTGGTTAACTTGATTCTTATTCGCGTGGAAAGCTTCGGACTCGTTATTCTGGTTTTCAGAAATAAAGCTAGATCGGGTTTTTAATTTTTGAAATTCGTCATTGTCAATTCAAGTTTTGATACTTTTCGCATTGTCCTTTCATCTGAAATATTTTCTACGACCTCAGATTTTTTTATTCCAGAAATTTGCGATCTGTTACATTGCACTTGAGATTTTGAAAACAAAGTTGAAAATTGAGTTAATTTTCTCAGGTGTCAGAATCTTTTATTAGTTTTCTGATATATATGCAAAATCTATAACATCGTATTAGTCTTTTTTACTTCCGAAACTTGATGCCTTTTCGACATTTGAGCCAGATTTATTTACCCCTCAAAAACTTACTTTGTATACATTTGCCAGTAAACACCCTAGATAAAACTTTAACGGCAGATCTTTTTCTTGATTTATTTTAACCCAAGATAAATCTGATATATCTAAATCTGCGAGACGATTTCCAAGCCAATCTTGCATACTAATTATGGCATCGATTAGAAGAAATCGTTCTGTGAGACTGAAAACAGTAGACAGTATGCTGAATGATCAAGATCATATTCTGTCGCTGGTGTTTTACGTTTCGTCGGAGGACTTTCTGGGATATAAACCGACGTAAATTTTGGTTTGAGGCCTTTTTTAGCCGTAGGATTGGCGCATGATTCATACAGATTGTTAGTCGGAACTCCAAGATTTAAATGGACATACTTAGCTTCGGTTGAAGTGTTCTGTGACATTACAGAAAAAGAAATTAAGTGAAAGGGTTGTTTTCTATCCGATCTTTTTTGCCGTCAAGCCGCCAGTTCAGTTTTAAGTAGTTTTCTTCATTTTTCTTCTTTGTTATTATTATCATCCTCATTATCATCACAAGTATCATTACTATTATTATTATCATCACCATTATAAATACCTTTATCATTATGATCTTTTCATCATTTTTGTTACTTTATCATTATAAATGGTTAATTTTCAAACTAAATCACGTGAATATCTGAGACTGCGCACTTAGCTACGTCAGATAAAAATAATGGGGTAGAAAATCAAAGATATTTTATCCTTATTGTTTGTACCATTTATTTTACAAAATAGAAATGTTACATCAAGTTCTTATGCATTTTTTTTTTATCATGGAAAACTTACTGACCGTCTGGTAACACAACTTTTGATACTGAATAAGGACTCTTCATAAAACGTTATCAATTATTTTTGTTGCCTCCTAGCGAGCGCCGTTGTAAGAGGCAAACTTTTGGTCTTTCAATTCTATCAAACGTCATTGTTTAAGGTCCACTGTATGATAATAACACAGCCTGAACTGCTAATTTTTTCAGGATAGTTTTTATGTTATCTTTTTTTTCTGAATCTCTTTGAAGGTCTAACAAGAGTAACATTAACTCAAGCCCAGTTTACAGGTATAGTCCGGTTTTTCTGGCCATTTATGGAAAAAATGAAAAAATGCTATACAGAAGCAAATCATCAAACCAATTCAATAGGGTAAAGTTGCTCTTATTTTACACGTAAGACTAATTTTGCTCTTTCACCTGGGAAGATTTCTCTTTATCCTTTCATAGCACAGTGCAAGTTTCCGTTATGTCTAATTAAAATAGTCATGTCCTTACGCATGCGCGGAACGTTCCTTTTTAAAGTTCAAGTAGTAATGTCATCATCCTCACTAATTACCTGACCAAGACCAAAAAATAAAGGCGATGTTTCTGAGTTTATGAATCTGTTAAAATTATTTATATGAAGCCTCCCTGGCCCCAGGTCCGGGAAAAAAAATCGTTCTGTTGAAGAAGTTTAAAAAAGGGGAGTATTATAATAACACTAGAGATATCATATAAATAAACCTTTCTACATCTCTCTGCTCCTTTTTTAGCGTGCACAACCCGCGGAAATTACACAGATGATGTTTATAGGGAAGTTCCGATAAAAAATGCGAGAACAAGTGTGAAAATCAGCAGTCCAGACTTCCCCAAGTCCTATCCAAGGAACATACAGTGTACATGGAGAATAATCGCCCCATTCGGTCACAAAGTTAGGCTTTCGTTTCTTGAATTTGACTTAGAAGGAACTTACATAGAGACAGGTTGTCATGACTATGTCAGTGTGAGGTGAGTGTTTGATGACAGACAATCACCGTGAGGATATCAGTTCCCATTTTGCCGGCTGTATTCCAAAAATCCAACGTCTTATTAAGGTCACAGTAGTGTCAGACTAAAAGATGTTTCTTTTCAAGGTCTTCATGGGATATTCGATGGTGTCCCAAATGTCAGATAGACATATCTACCTTGGAAATAGATTAAGGCAGTTATGGGAGTGGGTTAAGTCTGTTTGCTTTATCCTTTCAACAGAAAGCATTTTCCATGCGGTGTTTAACACTTCAGCTTCACTGCAACCAAGTCAAATACCTTAACCAACGTTTCAATGTTTTCGTATTACGGTACAAAATGACAATTTTGAACCTTCCAGTTATAGGCGATCCAGTGAATTAATCGTAAGTTTACGGCCATTAATATTCGGTGATGATTATCAGAGAAGTATTCGATGCTGTGCGGTTATCATAGGCATACAATTCTAACATGCCGTTGGTGTATTTTTCACTGATCATGTTTTTTTTAGTCCTATTCGAAAAGTAAATTTAATAATTTATGGACGCTCATAAGAATGCAGATTTAGTTATCCACCAGACGTAACAATACTTTATCTTACCTTCTGTAGTGACGGTGGGTTAGAGTTTAGAGACAGCAAAGTCGTTAAAAGGCGTTGTGGCTCGACCAAACCTTCAATGGTTATTTCTAGCGGCACAGTCCTTTGGTTGAGATTTCTCACAGATAAGGAGGTGGAACAGACGGGATTCGTTGTCAAAGTACTTCCTGTCAGCGGTAAGGTTACCGATTAAGAAACAAAGAAATAAACAAAAAGCGATTTTGATAAAGAGTGAAGAGTGATCGTATCACTGAACTGAATACAGGGTGGGGGGGGGAGGGGGTAAGTTTCTTTTCAACAATTTTGTACTTAATGATCAGTGGTGGAAATTTATAAACTAACCCTCTTTGTAATTTACGTTACGGTCAGTATCAACAATGGCAACAACAATGGCAACAAGAAAAACAAAAATAAGGGAAACAGTGGGAAAAACTTGTCTCAAATTCCAGAACAAGAGCCTAAAGGAACCGTTAATCCCGTTGATCAAATTAGTTCAGACCCTTTATGCTCACAGGTATTAGCAAAGGCAGTGTTTTAACCAGTGCTATATCATCTCCATCGTTCCTGCTGTCTCATTTCTCATTCATTGCAGTTTATTTTCAAACCAGAATGTAGCTTTGAGTTGCTATAACACGGGAAAGCAATAAGAGCCTCGCAGTAATTTCTTTACCAAATAAAAAAATAGTCCCTTCATCCTTGGCAGCCTCGACCTCCAAGCGCCATATCGCCATTGGTGTCCTTCTCGGCGTGCTTCTGCTCATTCTCATGGCTATCATTCTCCTTTGCCGCAAACGATTCCGAAAGCCAGACAAGAACGCACGTAAGGTCCATAAGTACCAGGAGCTTCCTATTCCCACGGAAACAGAAGCCGAGCAAACAGACCCTCCAAATGATGTACCAGGATTACCCAAAAACGCTGAAGCGTCGGGATATTGTCCCCTTTCGGAAGAAGTGGACATGGTTGAGCCCAAGGATAGTTGTACATTTCGTAAAGGTTCTTCAAAGAAGGCCACGGAGGACGAAAGTGACCAGCTAGAGTATAGAGAATTGCTTACTGTCGTGTGAACGGATCTCGATATATTTAAGCAAAGTTTCGGTTCAAATGGAACCAATGCAAATTCTGGTGAGTTAAGACTGTAACACGTATTTTGACAGTAAACAACTGACGAAATACCTTTTCTTATTCCGCAGCGGCCGAAATATGTTTGAAAAATAATGCTTCTTGGTTCTTGCAACGAGTGTATTATATCTAGATAATGGGATTTGCCATAGCGTGTTTAGGAATATGCCATCTGTCCAAGTGTTACACGATATCTGTCCCTTTTTTTCAATTGGCAGCCACTGACTATCAGCGTAGTAAGACTTACTCAAATGACAACTTTTGTTTAAGCAAAATAGTTATCAGAATTTATAAGAGAAGAGAGAGGTAGGTGGCATATAGATATCGGTAGTTCTATAAACCGTAAAAAAACAAAAACAAAAACAAAAAAAAAACAAAAGCAAAAGCAAACAAACAAATTCCTTGAAACTATATTATCAACCGACGTCTGGGAGTGAGATAACTTCGTGAAACACAAATGAAAGTTTTACCCAAAAACATTAGATCGATGTAATTGAGTTAGTATATATTATTCCAAAGATTAGGATGCTGAAAGACAGAAAACAACTTGAAAGGTTGACTATGAATAAATGAGCGCAAGAAAAGAAAAGGTTCTTTATTTACTTGATGCGACTCAATAATGTGAGCTTTATCGACACGATCTGGCCACATCTTATAGCCTTTACACAAAGAATAAAAGGATTAATAAACCTCATAAAATCATACGTTTGCTTAATATTTGTAAATTGACTAAGTTTGACCTGTTAACTTTCACTCAAAATTGCAACTATAGCGCAAATGTTACAGCAAAGCTGGTGCGTATCATATGCTTTTGAAAAAACAGTGAGCAAGCACGTTGCCGTAATATGTAGTTTGCTGTATTTTTCATCTCCAGAGCTCGCCAATGATGCAATTCAAGCGAGTCCATGACGTAATAATGTAACAAACCTAGGTATATATTACTTGAATATAAGCATAAACTAAAAATAAGAATGAGTTATCAGTTTAAAAATTTAAATTTTCTTATTCGTTACATTATATCTCAGTCTGCTCTTCAACAAAACTTTTTGCTGCGTCAAACACTACTCACACTAATTGACCAAAAAAAAAACTATGACACCAATTTTTTCGTTATTTAGGCTGTGCTTATCGCATTTTCCCATGTTACAGCGTTGTCGTGTCCTGATTATAATACCCATGAGATGCCATTCTCCTGTCGTGGGAGTAGTCGTCTGCGCTTGTTCCATTTGATCGTTTCCTATCTGTCACGTTCGGGGTTCTAATCTCCCGCTCGATGAACATGAGGGAGAGGTAGCTAAGCACAAATGCATCCGCCATACAGATAACAGCTATCCAGTAGGCCCAGTTTACTTTGCAGTCCCCAATTTTGTACACACCAGCGTCAGGGCCGCAGACCGCCCGAACTTCGGCACTATCCCATCCAACGGGATGTATTAGACAAGTGAGTAACATACAGAAGCCTTGAAAAAATGAAAAAAAGAATTAAAGAAATGAAATATAGTCCTCTAAGCGCTGTAGTAAGCTCACCTCTCTCTGTTACGCACCCCTCTCTAAATAACCCCCCTATAAGGAGGTCAGCCTGAAAATACTAACCTATTCTCGAAGCCCAGAAAGAGAGAGCCCTATGTGGTTTGCAATCATGCATTCATTTATAAATTTTTTGCCTTGGAGTCGACCTTCTGCACAATGGCTTTTGATATTATGACAGCGGAAGAAGTATGTACAGCATTGTGAGGTTCACTCGTGGATTTGTTAATTTATTCATTGACATTTTCATTTGTTCCAGTGCCTTACTTGTCTTTAGGACTGCACTTTACCGAGCGATGTTAAGCAATATGACCTCCTGTTCCTGATGCGTGTTCATTTGATCGCAATGTTTGTTTTCGTTCCTAACATTACGTTTGAGCAATTCATATTCGGCGATGCATTTTCTGAAGGATGACTAAAATATGATGTTCAATGGTTTCAGGATTTTTTATTACTTAAATGAGTTGTGGCCTCAAAGTGTTGGGTAAATAGCTCTATCAGTATTTCCTCGTTATGTGAGAAAGAATTCGTTTTACGGTTCCCAAGCGTGAGTGGCCATTTAAGATATTTGTTATGAAAAGAGCAAATGACGTAGATCGCATACACCTGGTTTACAGGTGCCCTAAAGTCATAACAATCTATGCCTTAAAAAATGGCTACTCATATGTAACCACGGCTGTTTTACTTAAATCAAATTTCCTTGCGCGTGAACTGAGAATATTCAGATGGATGGGTCCTTAAGAGGGTGCCTCCAAAAAGAAATAAAAAAATCTTGGATGTCAGCACACTTTCTATCAGAGGTACACTTAAGTAATGGTAATTAACAGATTATTAGCATCAAAAGGAAAATCTTTCAGCCATGACTCGTATAAAAATGTTCCCACGGCTTCTCGACTTTACGTGAACAGACACCGGTTACGATATTTCGTCAGTAGACAGTTTCGAGTTTCTGTGTGCAGGTAACTTAAACAGAACAAATATCAGATCTTACTTTTTGCATAAAATTTGGCAAAAACAGCAGCTTTATCTGATCCAAAGTAAGACGTGAATATTTCAACTTTCAAATGAATCTCCCAGTATCGTAATGATCAAATGATAATCTTAGATAATTTGTAAAATGAAACAATAATTCGTGAACGATCAGCTAAAAGGTCCAATACTCCAGTATACACCACTCGTGAGAACGTGACCAATATAACCACAACTTAATCACTTGAGGGATTTGAAAACGCTCAGGGTCTTAACCGATGCCTTTATATTTTGCTATTTACCAACACTTCCTTTCCATATTCCAAGCGTGTATATCTATACCTCAAAAAGAGAGAGAATATTACAAGAAATAAATTGCCAAAGGAAAGAAGTATCTGATCTATATTGCTCCCTTTCGCTTTGATCATCTAGATAAGCGCTAAATTGGTCATTAATTTTCAAATTGAATAATTTTCTTACTCCTTCCCTACATAATTTCAGAGTTAGAAAACACTTTAAAAAAAAATGTATTTTATATAGTTTATCTTCTCAAACTAGCTTTTTTCCAGCTTGCAAATCGAACAATTTTGCCGATATGGCTTGATTCTATTTCTTTACAGAATTCTTTGCGATAGAGTCAGCTGATTTGAATATATATGAGGCCCCTTAATTAATACATTTCGACTTCAAATACTTAAAGAGGGGAAGAGATTTAGTACAAATAATGGAAGGAATGGAAAAGGTTGAAACAACCTGCTCGTGTCTGATGAATTTTATCAATTCCAGACCGTGCAGATCTTCGTATAGATGACAAAATACAAGTTATTTCTACTGGGACTGTTCGTCGTTTTCATTTAAAAAAATAATAGACTTAAGATGTCTTTTCAAGATGACAGGAAGACTTATATACTTCCAAGAGGGTGAGGACAATGTGACATAAATAATAAAACTGAACAGGAATGCGACAGATTTAAGTTCGATTGAGGGTTACTAAAGCTCAGAGGATCCCAATCAACAAGAGTTTTTCGCTGTTTGTCGGGCTGCCCTGCGTAAATCGCATTCTCTACATTTAATTATTAAAGAAATCTGTTTTGATACCGAAAGCTGCAACGTTAAAGAAATTATTGAGAATAATGGTTGGGTGAGAGGTGTCATTAAAGAGTCTCTTTCACAGTGAGGGAAATCTGTGTGGAACACCAAATATTAAGACCTTTAAGACTGACCAAAAATACCCGTAACTCTGTGCTCTAGACGTCAAAAAGCCATGACCCTTGAAATAAGCAATGGATAAAACAAAACATACCCGCTGAGGCTTGTAATCCACTACTTGTGCGAAAACCGATGCGCGAAGACTCGAAGCAACATAACCAGTACAACAACATCATTGCCACTGAGATAAACGTGGAGGTAAAAGCCAACGCGACAAAAACCGTGCACGCTTGCCAAGCTGTTGAGTAAATTTTTGCGAAATCGTTTAAGCTGCCGGTGCATTCATTGAGGTTGTCGCTGCAGTTACGGTACAGGCCAAAATTCACGCTCTTATCATTGGGACTGATTTTTCCGCTGATCCAGTGAGGCTGTACAAAGATTACCACAATCATAATTCCAAGACAAGCGGTGAAAAGCGCCCAAAGCACTACCAAAATCGTTAATGTTTTCGACTGATACCACGGTTTCAAAACTGTGCCACGCGCCATCTTAATTTCTTTCCTCTGGCCTCCTTTTAACTCTCTGTGGCGCTGTAATTTCTATAATATTTTCTCTGGATGAATAACAGTTCTTTATGGCAAGCACCGCAGCTCAAAATAGCTTTAAAGTACCCCCTGTGGCGAGGCTTATATCGGCCGACTTCAGGCGCAAATTTTTACATATTGGACAAAAACCGCGCAATTCATGTGCTTAATATACTGTAAAAAAGAGTTTTTGTTTAATTCACCACTATTTACGTGTTTATCTTAAGCCACCATTTATGATCTAAAGGCATGACGTAAGGAGAACTTTAGAAAAAGTGAAATGAATTGTAAGCAGTCTATTTTATGAAAATTTCGAACATTTCCCTTCCTTATTCATTGCAGACTCCAACAAAAGAACAAAAGTTTAAGCTCCAATATCGCTTATCACTCTCTTTAAAATTCAAGTGTTCGTAATTTCGTATTTTGAAAGAACATCACGCGCAAAGCAAAACATGCTTTAAATTTTTAATGATAAGTCATGTAGCAATTGCTCTGCATAATTACAGATTGACTGAAATCATCCTTGGCGGACAAAAACAATTTTACGGTTCTGTATGGTGAATCGTTAATTTACAGCAGTCTGCAATAACGATCTTAGCTGACCTGTCATGAGAATTTTTGCATAAATGTCTGAAATACCTGCTTCATAAAAACTAACGTTTTAGTTGGGTGAGGTTCTGCGTTAGTTGGTTATGTAAGTTTGTTTAGCTCGATTAATTTGTGTGCTTAGAGAAATGTTAATTTAGAGCTGTAGATCACGTATGAAAATGCCCTCGATCGTTTCTGCCTCCGATCAATTCTGGTCAAGATGATGTCACTTAACTTTTACTGGAGCAGGAGTTCCTGTGTATGTGTGGCATTAACAACTTTGAGCTGATCCTCAGCGATAGGTGTAAACATTAGGCAATAAACTTAGTATTAACAACGTTCAATTTCAACTTAAATTGAGAACTGTGTATTAATATCAGGGAGTTGCACTCAGGATCTGGGTAAACAAAAGCGGAGAGCGTAATAGGTGAAATTTCCCCCCGTTGCATTTACGCCGCGCCGCATTTCCTTGAATAAACAAACATTATTGGAAATCTTTTACCAATTATCCGACAATTTTCAGTTCACAGCTGTTCGGTGCACTAAAGCCGAAAAAATATCCGTATTACTTCCGTCGCAAGTGCTTTCAACCAATTTCCTTGAAAGATTTGCCGGCTTTGATTCAAAACTTTGACACAACCGTTCTGATGTCGGCAAAATTATGTAAGAACTAATGCCCCTCAAAAAAACGGTACAAACGCACATTTAACAAGGGAAAATGCTTGAGTCTAACCGACTCGCATGCCAAAATAATCTGATAGACACCTTTCTGCGTGCTCTGTGATGAAAGTGCAGCCAATATAAAAGTATAAGGTGGAAGTCAGCGATCCGACATTTTGGAAACTTTCCAGTGACGATATTGACCAAAACTTCCGGAATCAGACATAAAGTCAATACAGGATGTAGATTTTAAAACTGAAAAGGTTTATGAAGATTCCTTGTCCTCCACCAGAAAAATTTTGAGCCTAATGATCTAATACTTCTCTTATCATTTTTATTGTTGATTGTTTGAACCCGAAGGTAACATGTGATCATGTATAATCATTCGAGTGAGGGTAGTCCTGGGAATGAATGTGGTCGATTTTGGCCCAGTTTAGGCTAAACCATTGACCACTGTTGAATCATAAAAAAAATTCAACAGAAGAAGCTGGTACTTTACGAAAACACGCGTACATTATTCCAGTAAGAAGTATCATATCAAAAACAGTTTGTAAGTAAGACTAAGGATTAGTAGGGGGAAGGAGGAAGAGGAGGGGCAGAGCAAGGGGATTGTTTCTAGTAAACAGAGACAAAGGTACAGTGGAATCCCGATGACTCGAGCCCTCGCTCTCTCGAACCTCGCGCTAACTCTAACTAAAATCCGCGTGATTTCCGATATACATTTACTGCAATTTTACCCTCGATAACTCGAACCTCCCGCTAACTCGAAGCAATTTTCGATTCCCTTCGGATCATTTTCGACATATTTTAACCCTAAGCGATAGCTCGAACCACATCTGTTAATACGTGACCAATCAAAACAAACAGTGTACTATAAGCCTAAAAATTTACTTACGCTACGTTATGATTTCTGAAGTAATTGACTGTGCCATTTTCACTCGACTTCTCTATAATTAAATTTGATTAAGATATAAACTGTACAAATAAGGAAGAAAAAAAAAAAACAGAGAACGTTTTTCTTTAATTTCAACCCCGATAACTCGAAACTTTTTCAATTTCCCTTGAAGGTTCGAGTTATCGGGATTCCACTGTATATGTGCGTGGTATTCATGTGTGCACTTCCCCAGCTTCAGCTTTGCGAAGTTGTCATTAAAATCCGTCAATCCTATTAATTCCCTTCAAATTCTTCACCAACATCCTTTAGCTTCCTGAGGACCTCGCCAACACAATAACCCTTTGCACTGGCTACACCAAAGTGATACCTCGTGTAGCATAGTGGAGACTGAATAATGAGATTTAAACCCTCTCCAGGAGAGAAGGAGGGGGCGTTGAATTAGAGGACGCTTTTTTTTTGAATTGTACATATAATTTACGTTATGGCTATTAATACCTTCAAGAAGTAGTGTGAAAAATAAATATTGATTTGCAATGATGATATTGTACGTCGGTAACTACAGCACTCATATATAAAGTTCCTCCCTGTCTTCAGATCATTTCGACGAAAATTTATGAAGCAATTTTAAGTTGTCAGAGAGAAATACCCCAACCCTCCCCCCCCTTACCTACAAACACTCTCTATTCACATGTAAAGGTAGCATTGAATTGAAATTCAACGAAGTTTATAGACGTAATCCCTGGTGTAAGAGAGGAATGGTCAAAAGGAAGTGGTTTCCATACCAGCACAATATTTGAGTATGGACTATTGTTCCAAACACTTACCTACTAATTGTGAAACCTGTTACTCACAACTCGAGCTCGACTCATAAACTAGTTGTTGAGGGTTTATAGTTTTTATAGTTTTTAATCAACCCCAGACATTGGTTATTATGATCATCACCACCTTCAATTTTACATCCATTTCACAACAGCACATCTAATTCAGGTTAAAAGGATCTGTATTAAAACTTGAATGTTAAAATACCAAATTATGAAATTCGTAAAACATGGACGTATTTCAAAATACCCCTACCCGGTAAATTGATTTTATACGAACAACGTTTAAAATCTCAGTCCGCTCTGACATCAACTCCATCAGGTATTCTGTACAACTTTGAAGATTTATGGATACAAAGAACCAATTAAGCTCGCGATTGCTACATGACATAACAAGATGTGCAAGTACCATCACAGTTGTACGCTTACAACTTTTTTCCTTTAATTTTGGTCTTCTTCTTTTGTTTTGCGTAACCAAATGTTCAAAGAAGAAACCGCTCGAAGCCTTTAACTCCCATGAGCGACCAAGATAGAATTTCTCCTTAAAATATCAATACAATGTCAAGCAGACAAGTGATGAGAATAAAGAAAAATATCAATAAGGGGATTATTAGTTGATCCAATAGTAAATTCTCCAAAATAACACCACAAGAACTATATGGCAGACAGTAAGGAGAATTAATAATGAGATCTTGGGAGTGAGAGAGTTAATTTTTTTTTCAGGCTTCTTTCCCTGCAACTCCTAAATTGCTGCTAACCTGTAAAGATAATTCTATCATTTGTAATCCCCTACAGGTCCGAATATGATTCACTTCATTTATCTGTGAACGCGGCTCATGTAAAAAGCTGTAATCCAAGGAGAGCATTAAAAAGTATATAACTTGATTGGCGATCTCGTAGAGCACTGAAGCACAAATTAAAAGGAAGAAATTACAGAAACGCGCTTCAGTTTTGATAGGACATCGCGTCTAATGATCAAAATAGGGCAGAGAATATTGGCACATTATTTCCTTGTAGTAGTCATTTGATAGGAAAACTTCAATCATCAAAAACTAGTCAGTTTTCAATATTTTAAGTTTCCATTGCGTCCTCAATGTCCTTTGGTGTTTCCACAGGCGGTGGTAATATTGCGGGCTCATATGTCCACTTTGGGAAAATCCGTTTATACAAGTTCATACAGACAGTGTCTTGGGCTTTGATCATTCCGTCGAACACGCACTTCATGTGACCATGTGTCCCTGCAGAAAAACGGAAATGTTAATTTGCTGGAATAATGATTTAAAACCAGGAAGGGGTGTGGTAGCGCTTATCAACTGAGAATAAAAGGAAGAGTAAAAATTGCAAATAGGAATAAAACAACATAGCATCTGATTTAACAGAATAACATAAACAGATAAATGTAGTGCACCACTGTTGTAAACTGCAATATCCAAGACACACCTAAAGGTTCCCGGATATGACCTCTTCTTCCATATTTGGTGAAAAGTTCCACGGGCTTGAACCAATGAATATCCTCTGAAATAAACACAGAATGGCAAATAACATCACGCTATTTCTAAATTCAGTCAACTACGAAAAAAGAGAAACAGGCGTAAACAAAATGGGCAAAAGACAAATTTTTCAGTAGCGTTATAAAATCTTAGCGTTGTGAAGAAAAAAAGCGCACAATTTTCCTTGCACGACTAAAAGAAAAAAAAATAAAAGAACATAACTGATGCATTAAAAAGGCAACTTAAGAATAATTCTACACTCAGACTGAGTCGGTCTTTGTCCTCATGCAAAACTAAGATTACATTCAGATTGCCAAAAGATTCATTTCCATGGAAGTCGCAAAGCAGCAGACTTCACATTCAATAACAGCAGCACTCACCTCTATTAAAGAACATATAACGAAGGACGACTGATCGTTTGTTGATCTTAAAAGGATGTCCACTAAGCACAATCTTTTTAGCAACAATTCTGTCCGGATCGACTTTGTACAATGATCCTGTACCAACCAAGGTATGACAACCTAAAGAAACATCGGTCTCTATTAAGAAAAATAACACGAGGTACATCCGCACGCGAACAAAGAACAAAGTGGTTGACATCTTTTAACCAACGTGGAGATTTATCTTAACAACTTTCAAATAATAGGTTTATCAGATGAAGAGAGATAAACAAACCAAATAGGAACCAGAGGATGACAAAGGATGGAGAAGACTGAATTGTGTTGTGAGGAAGACGAACGTGAAAAAATTTCTGCATCAAGACTATGACTTTTCTGTATAATCTTTCCAACAAGAGGACTCACGTACGGTGTAGGAAACGATAGCGAAAATAATAGCTTGCATCGAGATAACTATTAAACATGAAATTTTCTCCATCTTTACTAGAGGATCTTTCGTCACCACTCACTCATGGTGTAGAACACTGTATTTTCTACTGGAAATATAAATTAAATAGTATAATATATAACTTTGTGACCTTGAGCCTTACTTGTGTGATTATCCTGTGTAAACACGAGGACTGGTGCTGGAGGAAACATAATTGGTGCGTACAAAGTTGCCACAAATGCTCCTTCTTGAGGCATAAAACGTTCAAGCTAAAAGAAATCATATTAGAGAGACTCAGTCAGCCCGGCCGCGAGAGAAAATTTACTCCTGTAACGACACCGCAGTAAGGTAGTAAGAATTGTAATTGCTTTGATCGAAGCCCTCATCGTGAACCGAGTACCTAAATAACCTATTACTAAGTACTTGACTACCTGAATGAAAGCCAGTTCATTCCAAATCCATTATTAAGGCATGATTTAGTTCCTTTTCCCTTCTATTTTTCGGCAACACGAGCAGGAACCCCAAATGCTTCTCCTGCAAGAAGCAGGTTCTCCGTTCACGAATTGCAACGGAGCGTCACACGCGAAATCAAATCAGTTTGACACTTTTCACCCTAACATCAGCATTTATATTCTCCAT